AGTAGTTCGTTTTAGGTTTATATATTTTTTTAACGTCAGAATTTTAAATAAATAACATTCGCCAACAAAATCCTGCATTGTGGTTGAATGCTCTTTTTTTTTAACTTGTTTATATATTTAAGCTACCTTATAAAGGTTTAATTTTTTTAACGAAGCTTGCCTGAAATAAATTTTAATGTGCTTATCAGAGATAATAAATTCGTCTTCACAGAATGGAATCCTATATCAAATCTTCTAATCCGTCCACTTTTCACGAACGTTGTGACAGATTTATTACAGGTTTCACTATGTCCTGTTTATATTTTTGTGTCCTGACTCAGAAGGTGCCACTGAACGATGAGATTTTCAGGGGATTTCGAGTTCCTTGATCGCGTGACTCGCTAAGAAACGAGACAGAAAGAGAAAGAGAGAAAGAAGGCAACAAGAAGTAGCGACTGCAGGAGAACAAAAGTGCCGGACGGCGACAACGACGACGGACGTCATCGCACGGAACGACACGGTCCACGAGAAAACGTTCCAGGCCCGCCTAATAATTTTCCGGCGGACGACATGCGACGTGTACGTGTCACGGCGTCGCGGCGCGCCCGTCCGTCTCGTCGCTGCTGGAACGGCAAGAGCTTGCGAGCTTATATCTCTTCTCTTTCGTTTTTAAGAAAACAAAACGATATCCCGAATACTGAAACGGGGAGATTCAGCACGAAGAATCGGGAAGAGGCTTGAGAGATTTCGCACTGTGAATCTTAGAGATCTTAACAGAGATGAGATGAAGGAAGATACGCGCTTTCATATTTTTTAACGGAATATCAATACTTCTGAGTAGTCTTGAAATCCAGATGCGAAAGAAAATGCAAAGAGATTATTTTAACCAGTTATTAATTATTGCGATAAATATCTCCGTCTGCCTCGATGATCACATTGGTAAAAATGGAATCACATAATGCTTGATTTTTTGAATGATAGCATGCAGTCATACCTGCTCTAATATATAGAATTCGTTCATGCATTGAATGCTGCATGTTGCTTATACATGATTTTTATGTTTATAATTTCTTTAGTTTATTACTTCAGTTTATTTCCTTGTATGCACCAATTAAAAGAAATAATTGCTAATTTCGTAATTATTTGTCAAACGTTAAACTGTATGCATCAAAACAAGTATGTGTGCATATATGCATGTATACTTATTATTCAAAAAATTAAGCAATCGTAAATTCCATCTTTAGACGCCCGTCCCAAAAAGTCGACAGTTTCAAGTTCAAATCCTGGAGGTGAAACCTTTTTACAATAAATTCTTGGCAATGTTTTAAGATGCTTATTAACATTATTTTTCAAATTGACGATTAGTGTAATTTGTTTATGATGTTATTTTCGACTTCAGTTTATAATTGCATTTTGCGACAAATGAATGAATAATCAATTGTAATTGTGCCAATGATTAGATCTGAGTAATCTATAAAGTGATGTTTGCGAATGCAAGCTTCAAATTCATTGAAACTTCTTAATCTCAGAAAATCATTCTGTATAATAAAATGCTGTTTTCAATCTAGATTATTTGCGTTTCCTGCGAAAAATAGACGATTATAATTATATTGCTATCTTAGCAGGAAATTATGAATCCGACGAGTCTCGCGGCGGAAGCGAACGACGTGATTATTCTAAGTGATGGTGGCGTTAAGTGTTCATTAATTGTCGCGGAATCGACCTGTATGACATCGCGTGGATTCTCGCTGTTTATTATTGCCAAAATAATTTGACTTTAAACAGCTCCCAAAAGTGGTCGGCGGACATTTTATTGAACCAAACAGCGAGAATGATTTTGGATCGCAAAAGCTTTGCATGTAAAATCGTGGGATATTTCAATTGTTTCGTGTGTCCACGCGTGCCAATAACATTGTTTTACTTCCTGAAGTATCTACACAGAATAACTCCGAAATCACACATTCTGAAAAACGATTCAAACTTGAATGGGTCAATTTTCTCGCAATAAATATTATATTTATATAATTAATTTATTAATTATATTATATGATATATTTTCAAACAATGTGTATGTTAAATTTTTGTTGAAATGAATTTTGCTACAATTTACGCAAAATGTAAAATCTAATTACTTATTTTATCAAAATCTGATAAAAATTTTTTAAAGAAAGAATTTAATTTAATTTTGAATATATTAAATAATTCCAGCGCTGTTCCATAGCATTACACTTGGCATTCAAACTATCGTCACTCTTCTTTCGTACATTAATGTGGAGAGGAATATAACTTTGCAGCGTTCTCCGTACAGCGCGATCAGCTGTCGGCACTCAGTCGTCCGGCTTTTAATGCACTTCGACCGTTTCGCGTCATAAAATTACTATTTCTTTTCTCCATTCTATTTCTTCTACATTCTGATGCCGCGATGAAAATGTCATGAACGACGGTAATGGTAAAACGAGTAATTTGCTATGCGCGATTTCTTTCTACACCGACGGAATTGTGTTTGTGCATTCTAATTTTATAAACGAAGGCGTTAATTTCACGTGAAAATTGCACAGGATTATTTTCTGAGTTTATCTTTCCCTCGTATCACTAAACGCAATAATCGTGTGAGCTTCATCAATTACTGAGAAAAGGATATAAAAGTTTTGAAATGCAAATTAATTAAAGTTGTGTATACATAAGGGTGACAAAAAAGTTTATGTAAAAAAGTTTTGTGTTTATCAAATTGTTAGTGATGAATATTTACAAAAAAAAAAACTTTGAATTGCTAGTTATATCTTATTAAATATCAAAAATAGTAATTAACATTCAAAATAATCACTTTTAATAAACCTTTTTATCACCCAGTATACATGAATATCTATTTAATATTGTTTCTATTTAAAAATGTTTCGCTCCTGGGAAAAGAAGATTTCAAAACACTACACTAGAAGATCCTAAAAATATTTTTACTGTGCTGTTAAAGTTTCTTCCGCTGACGCAATCTCACCTCAACAATCTCAACTCGCGGCATTATGCTTTTGAAAAATCGTTCCAGAGTTGTCGTATTAATCATCGAAAAGAGGGAAAGAAATTTCTCAGGGCTCGTATTATTTGATATTCGATCTTACATTGGGGGGGAGAGCAGCCGATCAAGCAAACAATGTCTGGGGTGTAATGATGGATTATAAGGGATCAAAAACGACCTTTATCCATTTTACAATTCAAGATTTCATATTTTTTTCCTAGTATGTCCAAAAGGCACATACATTCTCGCGACTCTAATATTTATATAAATCGCCATGGTCTCAATATTAATCACGCGCGCCTTCCCGTCCCGGTTTCTTATAGAAAAAGTATAAGATACTGCTTTATTGACTCTACTAAAATGTCATAAAAAACTGAAGTTTTTGTGTAGTATTACTGTAGCAAAAAGACTAAGATTTTAGAAAAAAATAATTGCGCCCCTTTCAAATCTGACGTTCGTATTTCAACATATCAATAAATCATAATTGTTTGGAAGTATTAACATAAAATCTGTTTGCAAATGTTAAGGAATCGTTAAAATTAATGAAATTATATTATAAAATTAATGAAATTATAAATCAAAAATTAAAAAATTACCAAAGAAATTCGTAACATTGAATGGAAAATTTCTGGTTGTTTTAATCTGTTATAAAAAAAAATTTTTTTAATACAAAGCAATAATATTATTACAAATAATTATTTCTTTCTATAGTGATGAATAATATTCTTATTAAAAATACGTTATAGAAGATCATTAATCTTTTTAATTGGAACATCTTTTGTCAAAATGTTATGTTGGGGACAGAAAAGCTAACAAGAAAAATGAATAACAAGATCCTCTGCGATTATTCTTTCCGGATCATTTTGAATGGCCCGACTCTGTATATCGAACATTGTGAAGGATACATGACACCCCTGTGTAACGAGATATCAACCGCCGATGCGAGGAGAAGGATGAAGAGGAAGAAGATGATGAAGAAGACCTGTGTTCTGGTTTATAAAAATTACTACTGGAACATATCCTTGAAAGCTGAAACCACGAGAACGCCGGCGCCTATACATCATCGCTAACACGTTAATATCATTAACACATAACGATACGATGAAATTTATTCGTTCTTTTATTATCTGCTCTATTCAAATTTCCGTTCAATTAATAATAATTAACTTTCTAAGATACCGTAACAAACTCTATTTTATATTAAATTATAAATGACATAGTTAAGAAGACTAATCGCGAGAGAAATCATACAAAAATATTAAATTATTAATCTCTTGTATAAATCATTTTAAATATTATTAGATCATAATATTTTTGATAGAATTAATTTTGATAGAATTATGCCCGTTTCTACCAATGTAAATTAATTTTAACCTTTCAGTTCAATTTATTCTTCATCTTTTTCTAATCTTGGGACTAGAAAAAGATGAAGAATAAATTGAATCAAGGTTAAAGTTAATCTATATTGGTAGAAATGGACATTAGTCATACAAAAATGACATTTCGTAATTTTTTTTTTAAGAAACTCTTTTGCGTTTTATTCAATTATACAAATGCCGGGAACATATTGCATTAGAGTGACAAAAATAAATCGATTACTTCACCGTATTCTGTGCGTTGCGGCGCATCTTAATAACAGCGCGTACACATACGTCCTTCCGCCTCTAAGACTCTCGGTAGCCATTTAGAAACCAATGAGCTTCTAATGAAGGTGGAGCTTGCGACAGAAATCTCCACCTACTCTTAAAACGCTCTATTTCCCTCCGCTCGTCGGCGACGAGCGACACAGCATGAGCCAAGAGAAGATCGAGGAGAACGCGAAAGAACGAGAGAAGAAGAGAAAGATAGAGAACCGATGAGGACCTTTAAGTACGTCTTAACTCGGCCAAGTCAGTTAGCATCTCGGCTGCTCGAGAGCAAAATGACGCCTTCGTTTTCGAGCGCGTTCCTGCGATCAGACGAGACTCACGAGACTTCGATTGACGCGTTGTAACACGACGTGGAAAAAAATTATAGACTCCGCAGTCATAGCGTGTTAATGCAAATTAAAATCTGCGACGGACGTGTATTGATCCTTTAAGTTCAGAAGTGAATAGAAAACTTTTATTTTATGAGATAAAAGTTGGTCCAACGGAAGTTGGTAAAAGAGTGTGAGCGAAAGTGAGATAGTTGGCGAGTACCAGGTATATCACGAAACTTTATGATTGAAGTTAACAGGCATAAGATACTAACAAACTTGATCAAAGCTCAAAGGAAGTTGCAAGAGTAAAATTATGTTGATTGAAAGTTATTTTTATAGGATATAATTATTCTTTCGAAATTTTTATTAATTTATTTATTCGATTTTATTAATATTGTAATATTGACATAAGAATTAACGAATGAAGAAGAACAAAAAATATCTAGAATAACATATCAGTAAGCCATGATTAAAGCATGAGGTCAAATTATGATCGTCGTCACGCTATAAAATGCCAATTGGCGGGTACCGTAGTTTAAAGGTTAATAAGTTTAATCGACACTCGATAAGAATCACCTCAGCTAGGCCATTGGTGGTCTAGCATAAAATTCAAATACTAAAATTTATCAGAAGTTCATTATTATTCGAGAAAAATTCATTTGTACATATATACATTTATAATATTTCGTATAAGTGTAATAATATTACTTATATATAATTATAAATATCATATTTAATATTTATATATGTTCACCAAAGTGTTTACTATATGTAAATGTATACATTGACTAGTAAGTACACATTTACATATTAATGTACACATTTACTGAATTTAATACTTTGACTGTGACATATACATATATCACCACGTGTATAATATATTTAATTTTATTCGATCAACGATGTAAGGTAGGAAAAATGACAAGAAAAAAGGATCAATTTTTTTGTCAATTTAGGAAAGAGTCCAAAGATTAATAAATGATAGTCGGGACAACCAGAAATTTCTCCAGTCAGAAAAATCACTGCTCTAATTATTATTTAGGCAATGAAAAAATACAGGGCTACACGAATATGAGAATCAGAAGCTTCCGAAGAATCGTAATTGACTCGAAATGCGTATGCGGATTTTAATCTCCTAATTATGCTTGTAAATATCGGAATTAGCAATGTCCAATATCCACAGCAAGAAAACCAGACGAATTTCACTTGAATATAATCAGGCAGATATAATGAATCGGAAATTAACCGGATTGACGGA